TATGAGAATGAGGGATATTTGGAAAGGATTTATTACGGATCAAGAGCGCAGTAAAGTTCAAAACGAACAGTTTTTTTGAATATTTTTTGGCAAAATAGTAACTATGTCAAATTTCGGCTCTGTCGGTGTAGGTATTTATGCCCCCTTTGACAGGCATGATGACGAGATAAGATTTTTAGTATATTACGGCCGGCCTAGCCCTTATGGGACAAGTTATATCAAGTTTTTGCGGAAATATGTAACATGAAAAAGGGCTTAAGATAGACCCATATTTTATTATAAGCCCGTCTATCCGTCTGATGTCTTTCCATGTAAATTTGTGGTCAAGCTATAGGTCAAAAGTTTTGAGATATTTTGCTGAAATTTTGTACACTAATGTGCCTTGATTTAAATACGAACGCTATTGAATATAATTTGAATCGGTCCACTTTTACGACCATTCTTCCTTATAACGCCGTATTTTGAAAAGTCAAGATATGGAAAAAAATTGCAATTTTCAAGATTCCTCTGGCTAAATAGAACTATTTCGGTATTCTAAATTGGTATGAAAACTTTGGACCAGCTGGGCCAATTTTTTGATAACGAAAACTAAAATTTATGTATGAAAAAGATCTAATGTTCAACGCTTCATGATGAAAATCAGATCATAGCAGTAATTTACGATAAAAAAAAATGAACAGTTCCAAATTTGGACAATGTCGGCCTATTTTTTCAATCCTGCCCAGTATAAAAATTTTAGCGAAAATCAATCCTTTATAGGACGGAAGAGTTCAAGTTTTATTATGTTATGATGAAAATTGACGCATATTGATAATTGATATAAAAATTAACTGTGGTGAATTTTGAATAAGACGTTTTATGGGGAGTGGTCGAAAAAGTGGACCGATCCACCATTTTGAACAGCATTCGCCCTTGGGTCAAAGCGTGTCCTTATACCAAATTTCACGGAAATATCTCCAAAATTGCGGATTGCATCTTGAACACAAATTTTCATGGGCAGACATTAGACGGGCATACGGACAGACAAGGTTAGATCAATTCAGATTGTGATTCTGAATCGATTGGTATACTTAAAGGTGGGCCTATTTTGAGGCCTTCTGCGTATTATGTACGACCGCACTAACGAATATACTACAAGTGGTGCAGGGTTTAACAGGGTATAATTTCTGGAAAATATGATAAAAATAAGATTTGTGTGGGCCAATTTAGTGTAGGGCCTTGCTCCTCTTCAAGGCGTACAAATCCTTTGCTTTTTCCTCTATTTTCATCAACGATGAATCTATGGCTTTGGTGCTCCTTTTATGGCTATGGATTCGGTTTGGAATTGTGTCGGAACCATGCGGCCAACACGTTCGGAAATGATATGGTAATGTTTGCACTTGCCGAATTTCGTTCCTAAAATTTCACTTATCGAACGAAATCGTTGATCTGAACAGTAATATAAAGTTTTTTCATTAACAATCATGTTGAATTTTTTTGCGAAAGAATGCAACCCTGCACTGACAGGATTATTAAGTTCGCGCAGGGCAAAGAGTGTAATGGTGGAGATGTTTTGATGCCATTTTTGCGGATTTTTAGCGTTGGTCTGGACTTTCAGTACGAGCAAAGGACAATGGGGATTAGAGAAAAAAAAAGAAAGGAGACGGATAGTTACTTGCAAAGTGTTTTAATACAATAAAGTTAAGGAGGAGAGTAGTAGGGGCGGTCTCCCCAGAAATAAGAACGCCTGACTTTCTAAATACGACTGCATTGGACAGAATAAATGGTAGTCGGAAAGGATCATGTCTGGAGAATATGCGGTGCGTGGTAAAAGTTCCCAGCTTAAGCTGAATGTTATTTCCGTGGCTGCTTTCGCGTGAAACGAATGGATATATGCATCGTTTTCACCACCAAACTTGTTATCCGTATTCACGGAAACGAATTCCTAGGAGTTTCGCAGGTTAGAGAAGTTCCACTTCAGGCCACCTTAATCAGTTCCGTAATTTCACATCAGTTTTTTTAGAGTTCAATCCATTTAAAAATGGAGAAACATGCAACATTGTGAATGACATTCATTTCTTTACATTTGGTTATGCACTGACCGATACCTTCGCTTAAGCAAATTGAAACCTACATTGCTCAAATATCTGATTTTTTGGGAAAATTGAGCGTGTCAGGTACATTCAACTTGATGATGATGAATGAATTTACTTACAGTATTTTACGTTCAAATAAAAAACATATCTGGACTTAATGGAAATTTTTTTTTTAACAAACAAAAGAACGTAAGGTATATACTCGCTGATTGGTGATAGGTGAAACAAATAAAGTTAGTAGCGAGTAGAGCTTTAAAAGAAAATTGAAATAAAATCGTGCAATAATGGTAAAGCTTGTATTGTTCGCGTTAGTTAATAAAAGTTCATGTTCATTTTTAAACGGTATTTAGAAAACATGTTAAAAGAAAACTGACACAAAACCACAACCGTACTTACATTTATGATTTTATGTTGTAACTGCAAACTCATTTGTTGTTATTAATTATGAGAAAAAAAAGAAAAAAGAAAGTTGTTTTAAATAACATGAAAAATTTTGAAAGAATGATTTCTTGTTAGCTGACGTTAGTTAAATGCCTTTTTTTTTGTAATTTGATATGCGCTTGTAAAATCGTGTTTCCTTAGGAAATTAAAAGCAAGCGAATTAGTTTAAGTGTAAAAACACTTGTGTATATCTCGAAACAAAATTGCTTAATTGGTCAAGATTGAGGTTTCATCCGATCTTCGTGATTAGATGTGATTAAAGTCTTAACTTGATCAATATGGAAAATAATTGATCAAACAGAGTGCGAACATCAACGTTTCTTTCTCGGACTTTATGATGCTAAATTTGCTAGTCGAGCGTGAAGCGTGATGTGTTCCAATCATGTTTTCACTTGAAAAACCATTTAATGAGAAAAAATAATGCAATACATATGTTAATCAAAATGTTTTTCGTCATTCACATTTCTTCATCATTTCGGAGCGGCGTGCTAGCCAAGCCATGCTGCCTCGATCTGAATAAGTAGCATTTAGAAGGCGATGCGTCTGGTGAGTACGCTGGGTACGGCCCAACTTCCCATTGGAATTGCAACAGTCCAACCTTGACAACTCTTGCAACTTCTTGCCAAGCATTGCCTTGCAAGAAGATGACCTTGATCGTGCAATTTGCTCAATTAACGTCGGTACACATCTGCAGTAACGGTTGCATTCGGTTTTATTAGCTCGCAAAACACTACATCTTACTGGTCCTATCATAGGCACAACAAAACTTTAAGTCCACGAATATTCCGCTTCAGTGTCGATGTGGATGACTCTTCTGGATCAACTCATAGCTTTCTGAGTTTGGAATTGATTCAATAGACCTACTTTTCTAGTCACAATACCTCCCAGAAAATTTTCCTTTTTTTCCCTCGCAAGCAAGGAAACCGCGAAGTTGAAAAGATTCAAAAGGGCATTTTCAGCCCATTCGTTTCTTGCCGCATGTAAACGTGTAGAAACAGGCGATTCATCAACTGCTAAGCTGTTCGAAAGTTTTTTGAGGGATGGGTTTTCGTCCAATAAGCTTCCTTGCCTTCGTAGTCTGCCTGGCAGTACTTAAGAAGTGCATGTGCTTTTTTCGTAGCCAAAAGTTGAAGATGTTTTCTTTCGGCCGGCCTAAGTCAAATTGCCTGTAGGTAGGTAGCTATAAGTGAGACAACAATTCCGTAAGTGGTACTTTTCTGTCAAAACTTGTGATCCGTTTATTTGGAATACTTCATATTTGGTTATTTTGACAAGTGATAACTGACGCCCCCCAAGGAGTACAACATTACCGATTTAAGGGTATCCTACTACCGTGGGTTACCAAAATAGAGAATAGGGTTGAGCCACTTTTTCGCTTATTGGTATGTGTCGACGCGTATTTGAACACCTGTTAGGTAATTCCCTATGAAACTTCGGGGTAACCGTAGCCGCCACAGTACCCTCCGAAGGGCCGTACACAGAAGTCGGGCAAGAAGCTACTTGTCCCGATCTTTAGATGGGATAGTGCATCTTTCTACTTTTGGGTAATCTGACGCCCGTGGACAGCCATTAACTTCATGGCTTACAGAACTTACACCTTGCTATACAATTTTGGGTGTTCTCTTAATGTACGCAGTCGAAGCCAATCTTGCCTTTGGACGACATCACACATCCCGGAAGGCCATCCAACCCTTATCCTTTCACGAGAAAATAATGCTTCCAAGGTTGTCATCACACAGCACCACCCCTCTTAAACATCGCTGACCATCATTCGTTTGACGACCTCCATAAAACCGAACCAAAGGGAGAAGAAAAATGCTTTGATTAGAAAAGAGAGCTCTCTTGCGCTACTCTGCTTAGGCTTCCAAGAGAAAAGCCGTGTACAGGTTATAGGTACCAAACCTTGAATCCTTCTTTGCCGTTGAAATGTGCAACTTTGGAAAGTGAGAGCCAAAAAAGCAACAGTCAAAAAAAGTACGTCACCGAAAGGAATCCTATACCTCCGTTCCCTAATCCGTTAACAGTTACCGGCGACACTTGGTTAAAGTAAGTTAGGTTTAGTTACCCAGTTAGTTAATTTGTTTATCAATGACGTTATCAACCTATACGCCATTTGAGGCGGTCGATGGTAATCAAATCGCCTCGATTTACACAGTATGTAATGATGCTAACCTCTTAGATTCGAAGCATAGGTTATGCTTACAATTTACGGTCATGCCTTTCAATTCCGACTTGCATAAAATGAGCTAAAGATCTGCATGCCTTTTCTGGACGCTTTAACTGAAAGGATTATGTATTGTAAAAGTGTGAGTAAACTTCCCGAAAGCTAATTTAAAATAGTCATTCCAAGGGCTCAAAGAATATAATTTAAGAATGTAATCGTGTTGAAGAAGCAGCGTAAGAGAAAACCTAGACAACATTATTTGAATTTGCATTTTACATTTAAAAGTTGAAATTGAAAATTTATTTTTCCCAAATTTCAGTATGTCTTCGCAACGTCAATTAAACGGTTGGCTGCTATCCGTGCTGATGGCCAGTAATTACATCTTACTTACAATTGCTTATCCGCAGAATGAAATCTACTCAAAACGTTTACAATCTTTGAATGGCTATAGTAGTAGTAATCAAGAATTTTCTCCTGTATATAAACACGATGAATCTCAGGAAACTGGTCGAAAATTGGCTGTCAAACCGAATGCTTCTAAGAAAGTTGCTTTAGATGACATAGATGCAGATCTTGATACGAATCAAATACAAGAAGCGCCTAATGGTTTCTCGTGGTCTAACATGTTATCAACATTTTTGAATATGTTCTTTTCGGGCGGCAATATAGCGCCATCAAAATCGGATGACATTGAAAATTCTGGCGGTTTTGCCGGTTCACCGTGGGCCAATGTCATTTCAATGGGTAAATTATTTCCAATTTTTAACTATTTAAGATGAAAGATTAATAATTTTTTTTTTTTTTTGTTTTCATTTTATACAGGTTTGAAAATCATTAACGCATTGTTGGGAGGCGGTGCACCAAGCGATGGCATCGATAAAGTAGATAACGGCGGCTCTCCTATGCAGGTAAATAGGAAAAATGAAATAACATGAAACAATTTTTAGAAAGTGTTAATTTAAAGTAGATTTCCTCAAGTGCTGAGAAACATATGTACATAAATTTCATTTGATAACCAACTAACTAGTTTTGATTTTATAATTGCTTTTTTAAATGGAAAATTTTTCCAATAATTTTAAATTAAAATTTATATATAGTTCTTTTCGAGCGAGTCTCGAAATGTGCTAATCATCTTCTGTGAAATGTTGTGCAAGTCATACCGAAACGGAGATGGAACTATGGATGGAGTAATGGGCTATTGGAATTTTTTTATACCCCCTGAAAGAATACAAACACTCCTTGTCTAGTCTCTTCACTTGCTGTCGCTTTGCCCTTTGAATTTCCACGATCGCACAGGTTCAGCTAAAAACTTGAATTTTCGTGCATGATCGGTTCACTCGTAATCCTAGGCCATCCTCAACGTAGCAAGATTAACTTCAAAGTCCGCTTATTAACAATTCAACATCTCACTCAACAAGTTCTTAGGATGACAAACAAAAGTAGAATGATCATCGACGAAATATAATTTCTAGATAGTATTAACGGAAATGTGTCAAAATTTTCTGACATTGCGACCATTAGTTTACACTTTACAGTTGTTTTAGTAATGCCATGTCCGAAAATCAGATTTTTCCATTACTTTACAAAAAAAAAAAGGAAGAAAGCAGCGTTGCATTTTATAGAAATTGCTGATCTTTAAATAGTTATTAAGAGCATTCAATAAATTTAGTGAACAAGAAGGGTTTTAAAAGATCTTAGTTGACGAGATTTGATCAAAAACTAAAAAGAATTTTTTATTTTTCTGAAACGTACTTTCCTTCACTTCATTCCATTTTCCTCAAAGTAGCCCATCAATGATATTATTTATGCATATCAAAACTGTTGTCAGTTTGAAAAATTCTAAAAAATTACCTTAAGGACGAGAGGCACTACGAAGGTATGTGGTATAAATTTGAATTGAAAGTTTTCGAAAATATAGCTTAGAGCAGTTTTGATAAAAATTTCGCTACCATTTATCGAAACTTAAATTCATATTTTGTAAGATTTCAAAATAACTTGACATTACCTACGACTTTGTAAGATACAGGAAAAATCCGAATTTCGCGTCTAGTGTCAGTAAAATGACTGCAAATTATAAACCAAGGTTCGGAATCTTATGAACCTATTTTGACATATTTCGTTGAATGGCTGGTACTGTCTAAAAATCATATGGACCCGTCACTAGACATTTTATATTTTAAATTAGCCACGGCTAATTTACGAAGGATGCGTTATTGTTTATTCGAATATTTTCACATACTGTGCGCAAATACACCGTACCAAGTAATACAAGGTATGTTAAGTTTTTCAGATGTACGTAACACCCTGAAAGATTTGAGAATAGATCCACCTTTTATTATGTCGCCCGTGCCTGTTACTATAACCTTGTCTGTCCGTCTGTCTATTTCTCTCATTTGTCCTTGTGGTGTCTGTCATTGCATTTTTGTTTTCAATCAACCGGTCGTAATTTTTGAAATTTGACCCAAGGATGAACGTTATTAAAAATGGTTTCGATTGTTTCATTTTTTCGGCCAACTTTCCTTCATGTAAAGCCTTTTTTTGAAAAGAACTTACACGGAAAAAAGCTGCAATTGTGCAAATTTTTCGATAAAACTCGCTAAGTAATAGTACTGTAACTTTCTAAACTGGGATGAAAAATTTGATTCAATTGCGGTAACTTATTAAAGCCCCGCTTATATAACCGATCCTACAGGAACTAAATTTTTATATTATAAAAAGGCATCATTTTTAATATTTCATGGTGAAAATGAGTCCCGAATAGTAAATTGACAAAATTTTGGGCTACGTAGATCGATTTTTTGGATACCACCTTATATAAGGATTCTTAGGAAATGCAAGTCCTTACTTACCAGAAAAGACTAATTGCTAATACTTTGTGACGAAAATCTGTTCCTAGTAGTTATTCGATAAAAACAATAAACGCACCGAATTTAAACCACAATGGTGTATTTCCCGCGCCCCATTCAATATAAGATTTCTCATGAATAACAAGACCTTCAGCAAAAGATCTAATTTTTAATATTTTATAATTCAAATGAGTCCACATTAAATTAACCAAAAAATTAACAGCAGGGAATTGGGACCATGTAGGTCTATTTTTTAAATCTTAGCACGTATAGGCGTTATCATGGAAAGCAAACCCTTCTATGGAGAGAAAGTCTAAATTCTAGTTTTCTATGATGGAAACTGAAAAATAATAAAATTTTGTAGAAGTAAACTAGATTTGCTAAATTTAGATCACATCGTGTGTTGTTTCGAAAATTCTCCGATTTCGGGCTTTCGTAAAAACTATGCGTTTGCATGAAAGTGTACTATTACCAAAATGAGCGATTAACTATATTAGCCCCAGCGGTGTAGGACGTCTAAAAGTCGGCTTTGCCCGGCTGTATTGTTCTTATTTGTTTTTGTGTGGTAGAGATAAGGAGAGTATAAACCAATTTTTGGCTTATTATATACATTTCGTGTTGAGATCATACTATAAAATTTATATGCATTTATAAAGTCAAAATTTTTGTATTGTATTATTGTATTTCCTTTTTTTTTTGTTTGTTTTTTTGTTTTGTTTCATTGAAGGATTTTAAAAACAAAACTTTCTTTTTTCTCTTTATTTTTACTTGAACTTTACTTCGCTTAACTTTGGTTAATATATGTAATTTACGTCTGCGTACTATACAATTGCTTTCACAAATATGAACAAAACGCTTCCATTTGTACCGTTTATATACCATCATCATAATTACATAAAAAAAAACCAAACACAAAATAAAAAAAAATAAAAAAAAAACTATTTTAAAATGTATTTACGCTGCCGTGTTTTGTGTGGTATGGTCTATTGTATGTATATGTGGGTATGTGGATTTTAAATGGTTTCTCGCTTGCAACAGGGCATCTTAGCGGCTGTACTTTCATCAGTACTGGGCACAAAAGATCCAGAGCAAGTGAATTCAATGGCCAAGCAAGCCGGAGAGGTAAAAACAAGCATTTCTTTCTTTTTTTTATTTATTCCTTAGCTTTTAATTTTTCTTATCATTACTTGTTATCATTATTAAGTAGATATAAGCTTAATTTTTTAATTTTTTTAATTTTTGTTTTGTTTTGTTTTTTTTTTTGTAATAATTTTTTATTAACAACAATAGTATTTCAATTATTTGCATTAGTTGTTTTTATGTTGGAGGAGAAATTTTTTGTTAAAAATTAATGTTTTTTTTTTTCTTATTAATTTTACAGTTCATACAAATCGTTATGAACTTGTTGGATGCTTTGAAAACATCGTTCTCGCATCGTTCATTGACTGCACGTTCGTTGGGAAAACGCGATTCTGTAAGTGACGCTGCTGTTGCCGGCATCTCTATGTTAAAGGGCTATGTACGCACCTATCGTAATACAGACGAACAATGCCTGCAACGTTATATGTGTGAAGCTAATAACGAATGCATTCGAGAAATTGGCGGATCAAGTATATTCTGTCAATTAGGATCGTAAGTTTATTAATTTAACTTTTGGGTGCTTTTTTCAAAATAATTTTTTTAAATCTATCTCAGAAGAAATACTAGATTTGTTAAATGTTTCCAAAACTTGGAAATATATATTAGAGATCGTAAAGAAGGTTAAGTTTGGGTACCTGGTTTTCACGTTGAAAAATAACCGAAAAAATGGTGCTGTCATTAAGTAGAACCATCGCCTCGAAGCTAAGGTTCGCGGGTTTAAATCGCAGTAGGCAGGGTTGTTTTTCTACATGCTTATCCGTCGCTATAGTGAGTGCTCTGTCGATAAAGCCATTTACATATACCGATTGGTCAGTTTCTACCTCTTTTTATTTTTTTGACTTTTTTCTGACCGTCACCCTGTTGCAGGGCCACCCTTTAGATGGTTGGTCACGCAACAAGTAAGACCACTGCAGTGAGGCACGTTCCACCGTTAAATACCCTACACTACTTTGTTTAATACTGTTTTTCATAGAACAAATTTTTAAAGTAAGGCACTATGAGGGACATGGTTGAACAAGTGGTCAGATCGGAACCATTTTCAATTGTGTTTGTCCTTGGCTCAAAGCACATTGGTATACCAAATTTCATAAAAAATTCTCCAAAATTGCGCCCTATACGCTGAGCAAAGTAAAACAAGACGGACCGACGGACAGACAAGCTAAGATCGATTTACTCAATCAATCAAGGTGAAATCAATAAACGACGGATTTATCTCAATTTTTTCTGGGTGTTGCATGCATCCGCTCGAAATTACTGCTACAGGCGGTATAGGATAGAATAGGTGCTTGCATGTATTTTGATCAATAGGATCTATTGATGAAAATGATAAAATAATGTGAAATATCAAGAAACTTTCGAATAGCTTAGAAGTTGATAAATTAACTGTTTCCATACGTTTACATACGGTGGGAAAAATCCAAAAGAAGGGAATATGGCTGTCGGACGAATTGACTGAAAATGCCGTTTCAGACCGTTTCAACATCGTGGTGTCCTTGCTTGCCAGGCAAAAAAATAAAAATTTTCTACAACGTATTGTGACTGGAAAAGTGGGTCTATTAAACCAATTCGAAGCTCAGAAAGCCATGGGATGGTCATCCACTCCGAACCGGAATATTCATGGTCTTAAAGTTTTGCGATGTGACTATGGTGGAACCAATAAGGTGTAGTGTATTATGAGCTAATAAAACCGAATGAAACTGTCACTGCAGATGTGTACCGACGTCAATTAAGCAAATTGTACGATGTTTGATTGGAAAAAAGACCAGCAATAGCGACTAAGAGACGCAAGGTCATCCTCTGTCAGAATGTCAGAATGGTTAGAATGTTGCAATTCGAATGAGACATTGTGTCGTACCCAGCATACTCAACCAGACGCGGCGCCTTCTGAGCACCACTTGCTCAGATCGAGACCGAATGGCTTAGCTGGCTGTTACGAAGTGCTGAAGAAATGCAAAAATGGGTTGATAGTTCAATCGCTGCGAAACCATTATCATTTTTTTGATACGATGTCGCCATGTTGCCTGAAAGATGGGTAGAAGTTGTTGAAAATGATGGAAAACGTTTTGGTTAATATATATACATTGTGACATTTTCAAAATGAAAAAATGATCAAAATACTTGCAAGCGCCTAAACAAATAAACGAAAACAAAAAGGCGGCTAAAACATTATTTGAAATAGATATAATACACGATATACGATAAACCATACGTATGGTACTGTATGTACGGCCTACCCATCATATGTTATGCAAACGATAAACTTTTTTCTTTTTGTCTTTTTTTCGTTACAGTTATGCTACCAGTTACTTGTTGGACCGGACTAGTGATAGTAAATTTGAAAATATCTATGATGCTGGACGAAGGGGGCGTTCTGGACTCGATTGCAGTCAATTATATTTGGAATGCAATGAAGTTTAATATCAAAATTCATTAATTCTTTAGGTTAAAATTAAGATATTTAGCAAAAAAAAAACGAAAAAAAACAGAAGGATTTATAGACTGCCTTCAGCCTATCTAATTATTTCATATTTATCCTCTTTACATACACACTAAATTATTGCTTTAGTTTTATTTATTTATTTATTTTATTTTTTGTATTAAGTTCAAAAACATTTATTTATTTATTGACATTTTTTTTTTTTATTGTGGATAAAATTTTAATTTAAGCTTTTTTGTCTTTGTTTTACGAGCTTTACGAGAATTTTGTATTAAGAAAAAATAACTTTTATTTAAATTTCAAAATAATGCTGTTTGATGTTAACAAAAAAAACAAAGCTTTTTAGAAAAGAAAATTTTATAGCAGTTTTTCGTAAGCGTGTCTGTCCATCCTTCATCCTTCATCTGTCCATGTAAAATAGTTTTCAAGTTACAGGTCGAAATTTTTGAGAAATTTCATTGAAATTTCGTTCAGTGACGTCTTTTGATCTAGGGACAATGAACGCTATTGAAGATGATTCGAATCGGTCTATACTGCAATTTTTTTTAAAAATTTCTTAGCGCAAGTGGCTAAGTAGTAGTATTACGGCATTCTAAATTGGTGTGAAGGCTCTAGATCGCGGCTACCAAGTTAGTGATTACTGATTCAAAACTTATGTGCGGTAGAGTTTATTGTAATTATTGATTTATTATATATTTCACTTTATTTCCTTTTATTTATGGTACTTCTTATAAAGATGCTGTAACAGAAACGATTTTTTATTCCATCTTCCTAGGCTTTTTTTTTTAATGCTTATTGTAGACATGGTCGGAAATAGAATATTCTGTTTGGCGGAAGTAAAATAAAATTACGAAATCGAAATACTTTCGGAAAGTGCACTCCGAAAGAATTGTTTTGTATTGGATTGTATAATGCGTGGGAGAATCAAAGGGCAGGCAAAGATTTTCATTACTTATTATAACCATCACAGTTTCTTGAAATTAAAATCTTTAAGAATAGTAAATTTTCTACTGTAGCTTATCTTTAAACAATTAAAATAATAAATGATAATTCTTTGCCCTATTTTCTAAAAAATGATAATTCTTTGCCCTATTTTCAAAAAAATGATGATTCTTTGCCCTATTTTCAAAAAAATGATAATTCCTTACCCTATTTTCTAAAAAATGATAATTCTTTACCCTATTTCAAAAAAATGATAATTCCTTACCCTATTTTCTAAAAAATGATAATTCTTTACCGTATTTTCAAAAAAATGATAATTCTTTACCCTATTTTCTAAAAAATGATAATTCTTTGCCCTATTTTCAAAAAAAATGATAATTCTTTGCCCTATTTTCTAAAAAAGGATAATTCTTTACCCTATTTCAAAAATATGATAATTCTTTACCCTATTTTCAAAAAAATGATAATTCTTTACCCTATTTCAAAAAAATGATAATTCTTTACCTTATTTCAAAAAAATAACAGTTATCGATCGGGCACATACTTACCAGGCTACCTTCCTATCTCCTTCTCTTTCTTGACTTTTTTCTGAATATCCTCATGTTAGGGAAGACCCTTGAGTCATTGATTACATTTGTCCGCTGATTGTTAGGCATTTATGTAAGTATTAAGAAAAAGTATTATTTTTTAAAAATCTTAAAATATGGCAACACTAAAGCAATTTTTTCGGGGTACCGTTAATTGCAACTGAATTGAATTGAATTGAAGCTTTGCATAGTTGTGTGATTGACAATGTAGGAGGTGTGAAATGAGCTACTGTCTGTCTGTCTGCCTGTCTGTCTGTGTGTCTGTCTCTCTATCTTTACATTCGTGTGTATTTGTGTGTGCCTGTGTGTGTGCGTTTATATTCGTAATGGCAATAAAATGGTGTGAAAAAAATCCTTTAAAAATAAATAAAATACAAACAACAACACCAGCAGCAGAAAGAACAACAGAAACAACAACAATGTCATGAGCAACAACAACATGACAAACAGGGAAAAAACATCTAAGCAAACACATCAGATTTCTTAATTTAATTGGCTTTACGCGAGTTTTTCTTAATGTGGCCTGTCGTTGCCATTATACCAGAAACTCTTGGTTCGGGTTTAGATATTAAAACTCGGCAGTCTCTAGAAGAATATATGCGGTTGGTGGTTGTTCGTAGCGTTACCGAGAGAACCAAAAATTTCTTGGTGAAATATTACAAAGAGACAAAACACATACCTATCTGTCCACATGCATATCAACATACATACATTCATACATACATACATACATATATTTGCACCTGCATGCATACGTAGCTTACAAGTGGCTCGTTAGATGTCAATATAAGCGCAGAAAATGTGCATTAAAAAGAAAACGCATAATCTCCATTACCAACCAGTAGAAAATTGCGTAAGACTTTAAAAAAATATTTTGCTTTTGTGTGATTGACGAGCATTTGACTTAAAAGTTCATACTTTCTAACAACGTAGCTTTTTGATAAGGTATAAGGTTTCAAATTAACAATAACCTAGCTACAGCATGCTTTTAAAAATAATATGTAGACAATACGGATGAAAAGAATGCAAACTGAAGGAATTTCTTTTTCGAGAAATTGTGTTTAAAGTTTTAAAATAATTTCATTAACCTGCAACCCCACTGAAAATGTCAAACCGTATTCAAATATTCATGAAGGTATCTTTTTGGTCGCAACTGTACCTTACCAATAACGCAATGCAGGGAAAATTTAAACTTCAACAACGAAAGCTCCATTCCAAAGTGTTGAATTCTTACCAAAAGCACTAAGTGCTTTCAAATCACTCTCAGAGTCGTATCTGCACAATAAAATTATACTAACATACTTACGCTGGAAAAGGCTTTTAAATAAATGTAAATACTTTTTTAAGATAAATGATATAATAAATCAACAGATTAGGTTAAGAAAATTCCCAAATTTTGAATCAAAAAATTTCTTTCAAAAAATCATTCTATTATGCAAATATTTTAAAAGGTTCAATCTATAAAAAATAAGTAAGAACATTATAGTCGAGTGATGCCGATCATTATGTATCCTACACCGCTTCGTCTAGTAAAGTTATTTGGTCGTTTTCCAAACCAAAAGGACACATTATTTTCATGCAAAGCCTATTGGAAGGTTATCCATATCTCCATATAAGCACATGCTTTTCGTGATAACGCTAATATGTGCTAGGTTCCAAAAAATAGACCGATTTGATCCAAATTCCCTACTACTAATTTTTTTTGCTCTTATGAGTTATTAACATAGCGCGGTATATTTTACATGGAGTGGGGGAAAAAAGTATACCCATGTTGTTCAGATCAGATCCACTTAGTTTTTTTATTTAAATACTATACGAGAAAATTTTCATCACAAAAAAAATTAACAAGTACGCTTTTTTGACACATAAGGGTTTACATATGCAGCGGTATCCAAAAAATAGTTTCTACATGGGCCTGATTCGGTAAGGTAGATGTCTTTGTCAATTTACTGTTATGAGCTAATTTTCACTATGATATGACCCCTTTTCCCTTATAAAGCTTTATTTTCCGCAGGGATGGTTATATGAGAGGGTGTTCAAGAATTTAACCGCAGCCAGTTCAAAGTTTTCACACCAATTTAGAATGCCGAAATACTACTATTTAGTCACTTTTACCCAGAAATTTTGAAAATTGTAATTTTTTTTCACATAACATCGTTTTAAAATAGGACGAGAGTAGTCGAAAAAGTCAACCAGTTCGAACCATTTTCAAAAGCGTTCGTTTTTGGGCTAAAGTGCGTTAGTGTAATAAGTTTCATCAATATATGTCAAAAATTGCCACCTTTAACTTGAACCAAAAGTTACATGGACAAACATCAGATGAACAAACGGACAGACAGGCTTAGATCGATACAGAACATGATTCTGGATCGATCGGTATAATGAACAGTGGGTCTATCTTAATCCGCTTATGGGGGTTACATACTTACAAACTTATTACATCCTGCACCCCAAATGGTGTAGGGTATAAAAATTAAAAAAAATTTGTTCTTAAAAATTTATAGTGATTTCTCTTTTGAATGTCTTCCTAACAAAAGGCGCATTGAAGGGATTCGAAATCATCAAAATCGAGCACTTGCCGAAGAAAAAATCTCTCAACAAAGTCTGAAATAGTCGCACCTTACAGTACTACTTGTACAAGGGATATTAAGATTGTGCAAATGTATGCCCGAGATAGACCCACCTTTTATTATACCGATCGATTCAAAATCATTTTCAAAATCAGTTCTGAAACGATCTAAGTATATCCGTCTGACTGCCTCGGTTTATTCTATTAATTAAATCTATAGGTCGCAATTTTTGAGATATTTTCATGAAACTTTGTATACTGATATGTTTTGGCCAAAGGACGAACTCCGTTGAACTTTAATAATACTTTAGGTTAAAAATTTAATATTCGAACACTTCCTTATCACTTATTCGATAATATGTAAATGATATATGGATAACTGTGGGATAATGGTGGGCAGCGCCCAGCATAGTGTTTTTACTTCTTTTATATATGTTTTATATTAAAAAAATCCAAACAATAAATTTTTCTCTTCACTTTTAAAACAGAAATTCTTGTTCCCATTGCATGAGCATGTACTTTGTAGTACTTAGTGGAAAAAAATTCCTTCAGTATTTAATTTAAACCACTTCAAACTATACACCAACTTCAAATTCCATTTGGGTAAAAAATGTTGGATGAGCATTCGTTGATTTTGATGCGAATTTGTGCACCAGAAAGCTACTAAGGTTTTAGAATGCGTTAGTTGCTCGATAGGCATAGATTTTAACTCCTAATTCCTTAACATATCGTAAGACAACGATTGTTTAACTGTTTTTAAGCGTCTAATGTACTTATTATGCCAAGGCATGTCCATCACAATTAGATTATATCTATTCAAGTCCTTTAGTAAACTAATGAGATTTCTTACATCGTGGTTAAAAAATCGGCTTAAACCTTGATTGTTAAATTCACGATTGTGGAATGAGAAGCTTTGAAAACGCTTAGTAGCATTGACTCCATGAAATTGTGGCAATTCATAGCCCATTTCCCAATAACGAGGCATATTTTCCATTTCTTGATGAATTGGAAATA